ACCAGAAATATCCATGAGCCTGACACCCCATTTCCTAGGAATTCTAGGTCACTTTGGTGTTACTGCCATCCCTTGTACAGCTCCGTACTTTGTACTATGTTCACGGCATAATGCACCACAAGCTGTTGCTCAATAAATCCTGTGTAAACGCTCAGACCCCACCTAAGGGATTAAGCTGCATTATTGTTGCAAACATTTTTTTCATGGCAGGATTCAGTAACCCATGTCGAAGATAGAAGGAGAGGTAGTGATAAAACCTGACAGAGTGAAGCAGGACCCTTCTTTCTGCAAAGCGCATTCACGATTTGGCCCCTATTCAAGGGCTCAAAGATGTCTTGGCAGGTTGCCCAGCCTCAGCTTAACAATCACAAGCTCAGAGTCCAGCCTCGCTAACTACCTGGTCTTGTGCTTTTCCTTCCCTATCTATTAATTACAGTGAAGATCTTTTAAGACTCTTTTCTCAATTGAAAAACTTTTTTTCATTGGTATTTTATCATAAACTTTCAAAACAACTTTCCTAAAGTGTTGAACAAGACGGCCTTATCTAACATTACTCCCCCTATCACTGTCACATTAACCTTACAGGACTTGTCACCAGCTGAAATGGGCTTATTTGTCTACTTGCGTGTTGTCTGTCTCCCCCTGAAACCACTTAAAAGCATAAAGTTGAACAAAAGTCAAAATGGCTACATGAGAGCTTCAGCAAACTTGATTTTAAAGCAACCTTTTTCAGGGCGCCTGGGTGGCTTGGTCTGTTGCGCGTCCGACTCTTGATGTCGACTTGGGTCATGATTTCAGGGTGGTGGGATCCAGCCCCGCATCAGGCTCTGTGCTCCACAGGCAATCTGCTTGAGATTCTCTCTCCCTCATCTCTGCCATGCTCCCCCGCTTGCTCACTCGCTCTAAATAAATAAAATCTTTAAATAAAATAAAAATAAAGTAACCCATTTCCTCTCTTCCACAAACTTCCCCTCCTCCCTTCTTAGCCTTTGGTTTCAGGATCCCAGGCCCGCCCTGAAAAGGACTAACAGGACTAATGAGGCTGGCAGTATATACAATTCCTGTCGAAACCAGCTAGATCCTGTATTTCCCTACAAACCCCCCAGACCCTTTCTTGGGGGTGGGGGTGGGCGTGGGGCTTACAGTTTTTGAAGGCCATAGCCTGCTGCAGCCTCCTTTGCCCGGCAAAGCAATAAAGCTCTTGTTCTCTTTATCCCAAACTCTGTCTTTGAGTTATATTTTGGCCCTGAAGCCCAGAGGTCGGATTTTGACAACACCCCTACAACGGACAGTCCGTGAGAGCAAAGACTTGTCTGCCTTTTTTCACTGCAGTACCCCCGTAACCAGGACAGCACCGGCTGCTCAGATTGTCCCTCAATAAATGCTTGATAAATGAACGAATAAATTAAGCTCAACAGTCTTTACAGTCAGAACATAGATGTGTCTTAATCCTGGTTTTGCCTGTGATTTTTAGGGTCTTGTACACTATCAACCATCAAGTGGTTGATACCCTTTGATAAGTCAATGAGAAAAGAATTCTGGGCAGATTTTGAAATGCTTTGAATTTCATGCACAAATAATGCCTACTGGTTTTTCTCCCTAAATCTCACCAAGTTGGGGAGCAAGTGTCATATCTAAGAGCCCAAGAGAGGCTTCTTTCTGTCTCCCGTCCCTGTCACTTTGGGACTGTGTGAGAAACTCAGCTTTATTTCTCCTGTGCTCCAATTCACTTTCATTCCAACAGAGAAAACAATCTTCCTATTTATTTTCCAAGTGACTTCCCATGGTTTGAAGACCTCTCACAATGGAAAGTCAAGTAAGAAAAAAAAACAAGAAGAGTTACAGTGAATGTGAATGAGTAAATTACCATTTTTATTGTCCTCTTGGTTCTCTACAGGAGAAGACAGAATCCCATGAACTGACCTCTTTTCATCTCACACTCGAATGTGCTTTGCATCCAGCCTGGCAGAAGGGCCCCACCCTGCTCTTTCCACTGTCTCTGTTAATGTTTGCATAACTATTAGCAGAGGAGTCTCAGAAATCCAAAGCCAAGAGTAAGTACATCAGACTCTAACCCAGTATGTGTGGCAAAATAAAATCTATTAAAATGGTAGAGATGACTAAACACAGCGCCACACATGAGCTGCGGAAGACCATTTCCAATGTTACCATTCTCTTACAGAAATAACATGTATACGGCACATTTCTCTCCTTGTACCAGTTGTTGTCAGCATATATTTAGGTCTGTTCATTAATTTAGTCTTCCTTTACAAATTCATTTCTTTTCTGATATCTTTTTCCCCTCTTAAGAATATGTCTGGAGGGGTACCTGGGTCGCTCAGTTGGTTAAGCGACCAACTCTTGATATCAGCTCAGATCTTGATCTCAGGGTCATGAGTTCAAGCCCTGCGCTGGGGGCATGGAGTGCACCAAAAAAAAAAAAAAAAAAAAAAAATTCTGGAAGACATTTGCCTTCAAATTTGCTTTATTTTTACTCTTACCTCATGTGTTAATTGGGTAATAATGATAATGATGTTAAAAAGTACAACCACCATTTCCTTAGCATTTATTTTGTTCCAGCTGTTCAGTCCTCACAACTACCTTTGAAGGTTAGAGAGTATCATCTCCATTTTACCGATGAGAAAACTGAAGTCTAGGTCAAGTGGTCACCCAAGCTCACAATAACCAATAAGCCTCAGAACCTGGATTCCAATCCATGTCAGTGTGGCTAGAAGCCCAGCCCTCTCTAGGACAGGAGGGTCACCCCCCAGGATGGTGCTTCCATTCACAGAGCCCTCATTATGTGCCAGCACTGGGCCTAGCCCTTAGCTAAATTTTAAATTTATTCTTCAAGACAAACTTACAAGGGCAGTGTATGTATTCCCATTTCACTATAAGAAAACTGAACATAGAAGTGAAGTAACTTGATTAAGGGCTAGTAAGGGCAGAACTATGATACAAATTCTGGTCCATCGATTTCAAAGCCCACCTCACAGGGCTCCTGGCCTAGAACATCCTCTAATTTAATGGAGACAGGATTTTCAACATTGACAAGAAAATTATATATTTATCAAAGAAGAATCTTCTAAGTTGCATCCCCAAGCCCCAGGCTTTCATATATATATTGAAATAACTGAACACATAAGATGAGGAGACTCTTAGATATTGAAGGAGAGGCCTGGATTGCCTGGATTTATTGTCTTTTTAGTCACTGAACCATGGCCTAAAACTTCTCAGGTTTAAAACCAAATCTATATCTAATTAGTCTTGATTTTAAAGCCAAACTCTCATTGCCATTCCATTCCATAACTGATTACATGATTCTTCCCAGAGAAAACTACTCAAATACCTTAATCTAGATTCTTTAAATTCTCCCAGTTTATCAAGTAGAATAAAAGTTGGCTAGAGCTAACGGGAAATTAATGCCCAGCACACTAATGGACACAACTGAATGTTTATGGAATGATTAAATAAGCCACAGATGAAATATCACATTGTCAATGCAATTTATGTAACTTTTATTTTTTGATACAATTTTAAACTTACAGAAAAGTTGCAAAAGCAGTACAAAAAAATTCCTACACATCTCCACCCATTAACATTTTGCCACATTTGCTTCATTATGAATGCAATTTATAAACATGATCGTACATAATAAAATAATTTTATAGCAATTTATAATTAATCAATATTGATAAAAATGATTTATTTATTTTAAAAAAAGATTTTATTTATTTATTTGGCAGAGAGAGAGAGAGCACAAGCAAGGGGGAGTGGCAGGCAGAGGGAGAAGCAGGCTTCCTGCTGAGCAAGGAGCCCAACGCAGTACTTGATCCCAGGACCCTGGGACCATGACCTGAGCTGAAGGCAGACACCTAAATGACTGAGCCACCCAGGCATCCCAATAAAAATGATTTAAACCCAAGCTAAAAGAAATACCACTTTGCTGCCAGGGTCAACAAACATAAATCTAATTCACAGCTTGTGAATTGGAAAATTCACCGGATTCTGCCACATCTACAAGCCACACATAATTATGGGTGACAACCTATGTTAGGATACCCAAAAATTTCCAGTGTCCACAGTGATGTCCATCTCAATGTAAGCTTATTTTTCAAAGGAGAATCACTCTAAATGGCCTTTGCAAAAAGAAGCTGTATTGTCAAAACAATATTTTTTTGAGAGAGAGAGAAAGGTGTGGAGAGGGGGAGAGGGAGAGAGAGAATCCTAAGCAGACTTCACACCCCGTGGAGAGCCTGACTCAGGGCTCGATCCCATGACCCTGAGATCATGACCTGAGCCGAAATCAAGAGCTGGATGCTTAACCGACCGAGTCACGCAGGTGCCCCAGTCAAAACGATATTTTATAACAAAACCCACAAATGAAAAAGGAATCCTACCCAAAAAAGTAATCAAGTGGCAACAATCAATGCCCCAAACTTTCCAACAACAACCGATATGGCTACTACCCAGAACTCTCTTTCTATTGTGACAGCTGAACCTCCATTTTCTCAGGGAATAAAAACAAAGCAGCTTTATTTTGATTATTCATTATTTTTCGAGGCTAACCATGAGAGGCCTACATGAACCTCTCAGCCTTCCACATTTGGTTCCACAGATAACTGCAATCGTCATGTTCCTGTGATTCCCTGACAGGACTTTATGAGTGGACTTCCTTTTCTGGGTAGGAAGCAGTGGTAGGGTTATAACTGGGTCACGTGGTGCCAGAGCTGGAGGGGGAGGGCTAAAGTCACAGGCGTGGCACAGGCTGAAGGACACTGATGCCCAGCCTTGCTGGAAGATGTCACCTGAGTAAGCAACCTTCCCCGACAGAACACACCATACAAACTCTGCACAGAAGGATGAATCGGACATGTGGACATGTGGCAGGTGGACACATTTCCTTGCTTCTTCATCTTGTCTCTGGTTGTCTTCGGCTCCAGCTGGGGCCTTAGAAAGGCTTTATTCCAGGGTCCACTGAAAATACAACCTGCACTCCCTCAGTAAGTATCCGTCAGGGAAGTCACACGAAAAGATTGCTCCAATTCGCTCTTGCTGGTGGGCTTCCAAGGGTAAAATAATACAGTCCGCGTCTTTTCAGTCATGAGGAAACCGTTGTCACTGAATCTCCCGGGGATGCTTCCTACATCTAACCAAACAAAGGGAGCAACGGTGGAGGTTTCCAGATCAAAAGCAAATGTGTCACCTTGCTGAGAGATGATGGCCTAAAAGAAAAAGATTAAGTGAACGGTGAGGGGAGACCTATCTGTTCTATCCACAATGGCTATCAGAACATTTACGTGGGCCAACAAGGAGCGCATCTCCTCCAGCTTTGGCTCTGTCACTGCCAGAGTCTGACATTCCATGCACTGTGTCAGATACTAAAAAATACATGGAAATTTATTTAAGGCTGTGGGAAATTACCAAACTGTAATCTCCAGCCAAGTGTAGAAATATGTCGTTTCCAATTATTAAGGAGAATATTTCACAAGAAGCTCAGAGCTTTATATGTTTTACAGTTTTTCTCAGGGGATCAGGAGAGGAACATTTTGGCATAAGGGCTGGGAAGTTCCAATGACTTTCTCAGGATATATGTGGAGCTAGCACCACCATGGAACTTGTTCTTCTAGAAAGATCCAGCAACCCAGACAGCCACCTGCCAGGCATTTACAAAAGCTCTACCATTAGAGCTTTCTCTCTCATGCTGCATAGTACCATAAAGTCACATTATTAGCACTTTTAACACGTGCAAATCCCACACAGTATCAGCCATTTAATTTAATGCATTTAAGTGCATACTAAGTGCAATTTAAGCCCTGTCATTCACTAGCCAATTAGCGCACGCTAAAGTGAGGCTAGGCTGGGCTGTGCCCCTGGGGGTAGGGGATTGTGAGGTTCTCTCAGTGCGAGCGTGCAGCTGAGAGTGATCTGGTATTTAAGGCTGTGCCTCTGACATGAAACGTGACCCCCTCAACACGCAGACACACCACACTGTAGGTCTGACGTTGCACGTGATGTGTGGCATAGAGAATTTCAAGGCGCAATTTTTACTCTATATAATCTTGGCCTTACACATCATGGAGGGTTCTGAGTTATAAACAAGAAAACGTACTTTGGAGGAAAGAGCAAAGAAACTTAACAAAGCATATTAGGTATCTCTCGGAGTTTCGGAGAGTCAGGTCTCAAGCTGGATGTTAAATTCCCAAATCATGCCGCCCAGCGGTTGGGTGAAGACCCTAAGGCAGTCACAGGCACACCACTCACGCGGCTGGCCCCAGCCAGCCTGCAAGGCTGCCAGGGACGCCTCAGCTACTGTTGCTCCAAGGCCAAAGCCAGAAGGGACACTGATGCCTGCCCCCTCGTATTGCCTGCTTCCGATCTGAAGTCTCATCTCTATATATGACGGCAGAGCCCAGGGTCAAGCTTGCAGCCTGGCTTCAGGGAGGTATGGTCAACAACTTCCCAGCATCCTACTGGGGACAGCACACCCGCGTGCCTGGCCCGTGTGAAGCCTGCAGTAAATGCTAACTATTATTACTATTGTTATATCCCTTTAGGAAGGGCAAGTCTCACTGAAGTCCAGATGCGGTAGGACGAAGGAACAAGTCCCACTTCTCTCCCACACCCACTTGTCCCAAGGTAATGAAGGCCTGGTTTAGGAAAGAGAAAAAGATTTCGAAATCCTAAGTCTAGAGACTGCAGATTTGTCTGCTACAGTGTTTCGGTTTTGTTGCCGTTATTGTTGTTGTTTTTCTGGAAAGAAGCTATGTAAACGTATGGCATTCCCATCAGGCTGCTCTACCTCAGTTACCACAGATGGCTTACATTTCATCAAGTGAACATTTCACTATTAATGAGAAAGAAAGATATGTTTTCATTTCAAGGACTGAGTTTTAATACGATTATTTCTAAGTAAATGCAAATAAACCCTGTCACTTAAGCATTCTCAGTGAAGTACAGGTCTGAAACAAATTTAACCTTCACTAAACAGAGAGTAAAACTTTCTAGAGAATACATTCAATCACCGTGTGTCGGGAAAAGGGTAGGAAAGGTTTTCAATCAACTAGACAGACTGCACGTTCTCCAGCTGCACAATTTTTATAACAACACACCCTGGTCATCCCATTTGTTTCTTGGCAATTATAGATTTGGCGATTAAGCTACTTTGAAGCAATAAATCAAAGAGAGCAGAGGGAAATTTTTAAAAATTCATTGATTGTCCTTAAACCCTCAGAGTCAGAGTGCTTCTGCTGGGGCTGCCTGGTCCCCCCCTTTACACAGGTTTGCTGGCTTGTCAGGGCGGCACATGACACTTCAGGGATGAAGCAGGAAAGGCCAGGGACAGAGCCTGGAATGCGGTGACAAGTCCTGCTGCCTCTTCCTGCCCCGCCCACTCCAGCCCACTAGGGGCCAAGGGGTAGTGCAGGTGGCAGGAACCCTAAACTCTGACAGACACTGAATTAGAAAAGCAGTTATTTGGTCTTTGCTTCCAGTGGGAAGAGACTAACATTCCCCAGGTCCCGGGTAAACTCAGTACCAAGGAGAAATTCTGCAAAATGCAGGATGCCATGTGCTTGCCCCAGAAGTAGGGTACCTCTGCAAGGCCACGGGGACCCCAGGCCACTGGTACTTACGGTGATGTGCGCCTTGTGGAGCCCCACGCTCTCACTCAGTGAAGACAGGAAGTGATAGTTGGCTGGGCTCACAAGTTGGCTGTCAGCTGAAAGGTAAAAGGAAAGCACACAGCTCTGCCGTGTGCAATTCCCACAATTCTCCAACAATACAGGCACCGACTCCTTATAGAGGAGAACGGCCTTCCCTGCTTTCAGGACAAAATGCTCCGTCTCAGAGGAGCACAACGGCTCCAGGGAATGCCACGTGTGGACTCTCACCTGGGGAGAAACAAGACAGAGCAAAAGCAAACATTCTTGGTTACTATCTTTTTTTTTTTTTTTTTTTAGAGAATAATAGATGGAAGTCAGAATAGCAGACCTAGTTAGGAGCCTTATGAACCCTGGGCTTAACTGCAGCTCCACTGAGTACCAGAGCTTGTAAGAGAGCAAGTTACCCAACTCCTCAAAGGCTCTGTTTCTTCACACATAAAATGAGAATAAGAACAGCACTAACTTCACTGGCTGTTGTGAGAGTTAAATAAAGTAATCTATGGAAGACACAGGACCTGGTACACTGTCATTATTCTGTAACCGTGACCTATTTGCAGTGTCCTCCAAACTGCAACCACCTGAGACTCTGAGTTCCTCCCTTTTTGCCTCGCATTGTTTTAAACACAGGTGTATTTTTCCATATACATTCGGAATTCTTTTACAGATTTTCACTTTAACAAACCACTTTTAAGGATTTCTTTCCGTCAAGTTCAGGCTATTTCCAGCTTCTTGTGATTATATAACCTTATATTGTAGTGGCACTTTACAGTTTATAATTTGCTTTCGTCTAATTATTTTATTATTTATTTTATTCACTGCCCATTGAAATCCTTCAAGACAGGCTGACAAGTGAAGATATGATATTCACAGATGAGGAAACTGAATCACCAAGGCATTAAGCCTTCAGGTCACGGGATAAATGGCAGAGTTTTACCCTGAAGGTACAGGTGTTCTGAGTCCAAGGATAGCCCATTTTCTGCGACAGGCACTTAGAAACATTTCAATACAAATTAATTTCTTTTTTCTTTTTCCCAGAAGAAATATAACCAATAACTAAAGAGATGACCAAAAACACTCATTCTGTCTTAGAAAAAAACTCCAAGCAACTTACAGTGAGCTTTGCCTTGCAGTCAGAGCGAAGGTCTGACACACCATAGATGAAAAACACGTCTTGATCCTCAAAACCCACTGGCAACAGTGGAGCGAAGAAATGCCGAGCAAAGTAATGAAGCATTTTCCACTTTCCTCCATACTCTAAAAATAGGCAAGTTAAGAGATGGGCAGGGTCAAGCAGTCAGGGTCATATCCCCCATGGTCCAGCTATGCTGACTTGTCATGATTCTAGAGCCTGAGCATAGCAGGGAGATTCAACAGGGGCACGAACCCATGTTCACTGAGGCCTCGGGGCATTCCAGTCTTTACCTCACGGCATCCTCACATGTGGGTGAGGCAAGCATTCACATCCACTTTACAATGAAGAAAGGGAGGCTCAGACCGTACATCAAACATGCCACAGGCAGTACTCTGAGCCCAGACCCAACTCCTAGGCAGCACTTTCTCATACATAATTCCTCTTCCAATATTCCTTTTTACTACATACACATGAAAGAAGGAAATTGGTAGCATGGCAGTAAAAATATTACATGTATTAGCAACTGTAAGAAAATATTACACTTGTATAAAACATAAATATTCATTTATATATATATGAATAATATAAATGTTAAAGGGAGGGGAGCCTGGGCGGCTCAATCGGTTAAGCAACTGACTCTTGATTTCAGCCCAGATCATGATCTCCGGGTCATGAGATTGAGCCCCACATCTCCATGCTCAGCAGCTCAGCACAGAATCTGCTGGAGATTCTCTCCTTTTTCTCTCTGCCCCTCCCCCCTCCCGTTCGCACGCACTCTCTCTCTCAAATAAATAAAATCTTTTAAAATTTTTAAAAAATAAGAGTTATAGGGAACATAGTCAATAATATTGTAGTAACTTTGTATGGTGACAGATGGTAACTACACTTATCATGGTGAGCATTTCGTAATGTACAGAAATGTCAAATCACTGTATGGTACACCTAAAAAAATATATAAACAGAACACTTGGGGAAAAAAACAATTAAAAAAGTGACAGAGTTATTTAGAACTCAAAGTCTCCCTCCTTTTCCCATAAGCACAAAAGCCTCTGAGTGCAATAAAACAACCATTATCACAAATGCCACCGGCAAGTGCAGACTCGAGGAGAACATCCAAACAGATGACAGTTAATGACAGTTGCCCCAATACAATTAGAAGCTTTCGAGAACCTATGAATTCTGTGCCCTGTTGGCATGTCCAGGATGCTAAACCCCCAAACTAAAAAACATGTCACCATGCCTCTATTCCAAAAAGCTCTTTCCCACAAAGCACTGTACCAATGAACAACTTCCAGAGAGATGGTGGGGAGGGGGAGAGGGCAGAGGAGGGGCGAGGGGGTGTGTGTAGGCGGGGGAGGATCATGTCCAGAATTCACAGTGCAAGCTGCTGAGATGGAGAAATGTGGTTTGAAGTTCAGAGAGAACCAATTTCTTCCAGTTTTCCAAAATTTCAACTCTCAGTGCTTCAACTGCAACTCCTAATATCTCCCCTTAAAAACAACAAGCAGGGAGGGGTGGAGAGGCCTTTCATATTAGATCTATAAAATGAACTCGAACTTACAAAGTTGACCTTGAACAACATGGGGTTAGGGGCACCAACCCCTGTGCAGTCAAAAATCCACAGGTAACTTCTGACTCCCTCAGAACTTAACTACTAAGAGCTTACTGTTGACCAAGCCTTACCGATAACATAAGTGGTCAATTGACACATATTTTGTACGTTATATGTATTATATACTGTACCCTTACAATAAAGCAAGCTAGAGAAAAGAAAATGTTATTAAGAAAGTCAGAAGGAAGACAAAATACATTTACAGTACTGTACTGTCTTTACCCAAAAAATCTGCATCTTCGTGGACCTGCACAGTTCAACCTCATGTTGTTCAAACATCAACTGTATTTGGAAAGTTTTCTCGTAAGTTAAAGATGGCTCAGACCTGAGGTAACTTACAGACTCTCGTGTGGTATCCATTACAGAAGAGACTTCACATGCGTGGTTCCAGCTTCATGGCCACACACAGAACACAGGAGGACAGCAATTGAAGCACAAGGTCTCACTGGGACACACACTAGTTACTCATCAGTGACAATATGGCTATCAATATAATATCCTGCATAGTCAGCTAAAAATGCTGTGGGATTTCTGGCTTTTCCATTAGCTCTGTGCCTGTCCAAGCTTATGAGCCAAGCAAAATAAAATGACCCGGTGGATTTCTGTATTTGCAAAATTATAACTAAAAATGAGACTAATTTTTTAAAAGGAAATGTGTAAGAATCTATAGATTCCAAGCAGCGATGATCCCTTTAAAGGATCACCATTTCAGATAAGAGGTGACACATGCCTTCCCCCACCCCCACCGGCACACACTATAAGCACCAGATTCATTAAACCAACGACACAGAGTTAAACAGACGCTATGAGGCTGTCCAGACCAGGAGCAGACATAGCATACCTTGTCACAATTCCTCCCTGGCACCTGTTTTCTGTACCAGGTACAAGAAGATGGTGATCCTCTCCACGGAGGCACTGTCCTGAGAGACTTTAGAAAACAAATTCTTGCTCTGCCATCATACTCCTGGTTCCCGGGTTTACTCACCCTTTCTAAAGAACTCGTTAAAATTACCTGCAATACGGTCGTTTAAGGGAAGATTAACAAAGACTGGGCTCTCCCCATTCTCGAACCAAACTCTGCTTCAGGAGTCCACGACCTCATCCACGTACGAGAAGGCAGAGTCATGGTCCAAGTCTCTCTGAACAATATCTCTTTGTCCAGTTTTAAGCTTCCCAGAAAGGCGACTCTCCCCAGTCTACCCCTGATTCTCATCCAATACTCTTTTATCTGGTTGGTGTTGATAAAGAGTTTGGTCAGAGAAACCCGATCGAGACTCCAATTTACCGCAAGAGGGGACTCGGCACACTAATCACAGCACACGGGGAATGGACTCCTTTGGATTTGCATTCACAGCTAGTTTAAGAGCCTCACCCAGCAAAGGGGCTTTTTTACTGTATGGCCTTGACTCACTTCTGTCCCCAAATTCTTGTGTACATTATTAACTGAATTTCTTTTCAAACCACCACCAGTGAACACCAAAGATTCATTATTACTCCTTGATTTTTAAAAATATATCAAAATAGAGTAATTCAAACTGCAGGCACCATGCCAGTCATCTCCCTGTTGCCAACGGAACTGATGCAACTGATAACCCCTCCTACGTGGATTTCTGAATCCACCACGTTTCCCCCAAGAGATAAATAGGGCAAAAATAAAGATGACCTGGGCGCCTGGGTGGCTCAGTTGGTTAAGCGACTGCCTTGGGCTCAGGTCATGATCCTGGAGTCCGGGATCGAGTCCCACATCGGGCTCCCTGCTCGGCAGGGAGTCTGCTTCTCCCTCTGACCGTCTTCCCTCTCATGCTCTCTCTCTCTCATTCTCTCTCTCTCAAATAAATAAATAAATTCTTTAAAAAAAAAAAAAAAAGATGACCTTATGGGCCTAGAGGGGAATCCGGGAAAAGGACATTTTAACACTCAGCTGGGCCAGCCTTCCACTTGGCTGAATTTTTCCGAGGAAGAGCAGCTGACGTAAGTGCCTCTTTTGCCTGGAAATTCCTCCTAATCAAATTCAAAATTTTAAGCAATCATTATAAGACACATGGCTGAGACCTTCATGCATGAATCTACCCCCTTCATTAGCCGGCTTTTGTGATTCTGCACAGCCCCGAACTCGAACAAGGCTGCCGGGAAGGCTCCCGGAGTGCCCGGGAAGGTGGGCGGCCGCAGTTCACAGGCTGCGGGAGGAGCCCCTCCACTGCGCTCGGGTCTGCCGGATTAATCTGACCCCTCAGGCTCCGTGCTTTCTCAATGCATCTCCGCACCGGAGTTGCTTTCTCTCACAGACACAAAGAATAGCTGCAACACTTACCTAGAGAAGCCCAGGAAGGAGCCTGCCAGATGTCATTCAGCTGCCAATAAAGTGCACCCATGGTGTAGCCTTGCCCATCCACTATCTCGCTGCGGCTGCGGCGGTAGAATTCAGTCTCTATTTTGACACACTGGGCCTGCATCACCTGATTTGGGGGGAAACATCGAAGCACACGTGTTATTGTTTGACATAAGTGTCTAGATCTGAGAAAACTGCAGGCTGGAGGGTGTTTTTTTTAAAATCAGGTTGGATAAATTAGGGAATCTGATTAGCATTATGTCTACCATTATTATACTAGATCTGTAACTAGCCCCTCAGTATGACAGAAGGGTTGTCTATAACAGCTGATTTTTTTTTTTTTATTTGACAGAGAGAGAGATAGCGAGAGCAGGAACACAAGCAGGGGGAGTGGGAGAGGGAGAAGCAGGCTTCCCGCAGAGCAGGGAGCCCGATGTGGGACTCGATCCCAGGACCCTGGGATCATGACCTGAGCCGAAGGCAGACGCTTAATGACTGAGCCACCCAGGCACCCTATAACAGCTGATTTATTTGGGAGTCTTAGTGTTTCGTTTATTGTAACAATGGGTGATTGAGGAAATAGGATGGTATGAAAGGTTCCTTGCTAATGATAGTGTAGGCAATGATGGAAAGCAGACTATTATTATTCCAGAGTAAATGGTATATGTAGTCAAACACTAAATTTTCTTGCAGTGATGGGTTTTACAAATATATTCATAGCTACTGAAGAAAAAAAGTTTTATTAGAAAAAAATTCTACAGGAAAAACAACATTATTATGAGTCTTATACTGTCCAATCCCTAACCCCTTTTCTCTTTTTTCAAGATTTTATTTATTCATTTGAGAGAGACAGAGAGAGAGAGCATGAGCCCGGGGAGAGAGGCAGAGGCAGAGGGAGAAGCAGATTCCCTGCTGAGCTGGGTGCCAGACATGGGGCTCCATCCTAGAACCCCAGGATTACCACCTGAGCTGAAGGCAGATGCTTAACCATCTGAGCCACCCAGGTGCCCCCCCAACCCCTTTTTTCTACTCAAGCAATTGTTCTTATATCATGACTTCTGATAATGAAAAATTTCTTATGAATGTAATTCCTTCATTATAGCAGAACAGATGGTAAATTGCAGCAATGAGACAAGTGAATTTAGTTCCTATTGAAGAGGCACTAAAGAATTTCATGCAGGACTCTTAATTATTGGCAACATCATTGAAAAATCACTCTTTCATTGCTGCTGTTATCACGTACTTTTTATTTTTTTATTTTTATTTTTTTTAAAGATTTTATTTTTATTTATTTGAGAGAGAGAGAATGAGAGACAGAGAGCACGAGAGGGAAGAGGGTCAGAGGGAGAAGCAGACTCCCTGCTGAGCAGGGAGCCCGATGTGGGACTCGATCCCAGGACTCTAGGATCATGACCTGAGCCGAAGGCAGTCGCTTAACCAACTGAGCCACCCAGGCGCCCCATATCACGTACTTTTTAAAAAGATCTTATTTATTTTATTTTAGAGAGCACAAGCCAGGGGGAGAAGAAGAGAGGGAGAGAGAGTCCTAAGCAGACTCCTCACTGAGCGCAGAGCCCGATGCAGGGCTCGATCCCACCACCCTGAGATCACGACCTGAGCTGAAACCAAGAGTGGGAGGCCCAACCAACTGCACCACCCAGGCACCCCTGTTATCCCATGCTTTTAACTTAGAGTTGTAATAGGAGAAGCTCATGAGTGAGAGGTTCTTAGGCTCATTTGGAGAGGTCACCAAGGAGAACATGCAGAGACGGTCAGAGCTGCAAGGACTCCTCATTAGAGTGGGGCCTGAATTTTCACAGAGGAAGGAAAAGAAGGATGCAGATAAGGTCTCTTGAAGACTAAGCCCAGATGCTTTCCTAAAAGCTGGAAGAGCTCAAATAAAGGTAGAACCTTTAAATAGGGTTAGGCTGGCTAACAGGTGAAGGTATGACTTATATGAGGTGGGGCCACAAAATTCCAGAAGGGTGAAGCAAGAAGAAATCATGGTATTCAATAAAGATTTAGTAAGTACCTAGAGTATGTGTTACATGCCGGTAATGGTCCACCCCTCTCCCAGCAAAAAAATACACGAGCCCACCCTCATGGAGCTTATTGGCTTGTGCAGAACACAGGACTTAATCAAAGAGTCACGCAAATAAATGTAAACTTTAAACAGTAGTAAGTGCTAAGAAGGAGGAGTGAGCAATTTTACGAGTGTAGATAGTAGGGAAAATAAGCCTAGCCGAGGAATGATGATAGTCTCAAAGAAGAGGAAAGAGAAAAAGAGAGAGGGCAGAACCTGGCAGCCGGAGAGGACATGTGTGTTGAGCAGAGAATTCACAGGCGAAGAACTAAAAGGCACAGAGAGCCAGGAACAATGGAAGGGAGGCCAGTGAGATGCAGGGACCAGACCTGGGAAGGTTTTGGTGAGAGGCCACTGGAAGTCACAGAAAGCTTTTAAGCTCAGTGGGTGAAGGGACCAGATTTGCATTCCAAAAGAAGATGCTGCTGACCAAAAGAAGAAATGGAGGCACCGGGGTGGGGGAGGTGTCTACAATGCGTTTAGGGCAACCATTCAGAAAGCTATGAAAACCATCCCAGCAAGAGATGATATCAGCTGTGAGCAGATAAAGAAATGTCCTCATTCAGGAACCAGACCACTGGGACCACAGCAATGAGAGCAGTGAATACACTCTAAAGAAAGACTCTCACAGACGGAGTGGAAATGGTGCCAACTGAAAATGACCACAGGATACAATCTGCATGTATTTAGTCCAACACTAAGTCAGAGGGAATGAAATAGAAAAACAGATCTATGAAATTTGATCTGTCAGTCAAGCCAATCTGCAATTATACTCAGAAATCTCTAGCCAAGTTCCTTGTAAAAATACCAATCTTATCTGAACTAAAAAAAAAAAAAAGAGAGAGAGAGAGATTTATCTACTTCTAGGCCTGCATAGGTAGGCACAGAGAAATTAAGTCCCTTTGTAAGCATTCATGTATGTTGAGTTATGGTACAAAATCAGTGCTGTGGAGCAACTTCTAGAAAATTCAGTGAAGATGAAGCAGCCCAAAAGTGGAAATCTCAGTAGAAACAGATTCTAGGGCAGCATCATCCATGCCCACTAGAGATCTTTACCTTACATCAGCATGGAAAGTAACCTTTATAGTTGTTAGAAAGATTTGATCTCTGAACTCATTTATATCACCCTGAGCCTCCATATAATAGCCCCACCAACCAACCTAAATTTCGCCTATGTGCACAAAATCAAGCCAGCCACAGTCTCTGCCTCCACAGGACACACACCCAAGACCCTAAACAAGAGGAAATCTCAGTTCTCATCCAGAGAGTCCTGAAAAACAGCCATTGCTTTATAGACTGTGTGTGGAGTGATCATGAGAGAAGCTGAGGAAGTCCTCACCAGATTGGTAACAATAGGAGGAGAGAGGTTCTAGTCACCAGACATTCTAGAAACTGCTGGTCCAGCCAAGCATGGGCATCGAATGGCAACCACCATGGACAATCCACTTTTGGTGCCAGCCCACAATTCTGGAACTCCCAGTACCTGAAGTACCCCCGAAGTCTGGGCAATTCCTGGTATACCAAAGAAGCCAAAGAACCTGCAACATTCTGTTATTACCCCAGAGACTTGGTTCAGTGTCAACTCATGAGTGGTATGAAAGGAAGGGTGTCATTCATGAAGTTTGGGACTGGAATCACTTTCCTTGGATCCACATTTATAAAGTAGGGTAAGTAGGAAAAAAGTAAAAACAGAATTCTGAGGTGGGAACAAAATATCAGTGTATACCACAGTAGGAAATTAAGTTATCTCTTTCAGGCAAAAATGAAAACTTCTAGGACAAAGCCATGCTTGTGCTTAGCTGGATCTAATCCAGAGGACAACTAGATATTTTACTGATGGCCTTGGTAGAGGTGACCTGCATTTTCTTTTTCTTCATGTAAGCTTCTTTTCAGGAAAAATAAAAGATCTCATGAGCATCGAATTATTTACATTGCTCCAAATTCTTTTCCAATCTTTGTGAACACATATTGTAGCATATACATTTAGTGTTCTATTCTCACTTAGGTTTCACATATGTACATTTCCATGCCCTGGAACTTGCTAGCATCTCTGTGCTTTAAATGGTTATACAGTTATACCACAGTGTGATTCATCATTCTCCAATTATTAGGCATTTGAATGGTTTCCAGTTTTTTCTTTCAATGCAAGAGCTAAGAACATTTTATGATCTTGTGTTGCTTCTTTTGGTAATAATAGATGACAAAGTTAAACTCTTTGCTGCATATTGCTATATTAGGTTCCAGTCAAGAGGCTGCTATAAACTGGTGGCCTCCAGACAGAACTTTGCCCCACACAGACTTTTTTTTATTATGTTATGTTAGTCACCATATAGTACATCATTAGTTTTTGATGTAGTGTTCCATGATTCATTGTTTGCATATAATACCCAGTGCTCCATGCAATACGTGCCCTCCTTAATACCCATTACTGGGCTAACCCATCTCCCCACCCACCTCCCCTCTAGAACCCTCAGTTTGTTTCTCGGAGTCCACAGTCTCTCATGGTTCGTCTCCCCCTCCGATTCCCCCTCTTCATTTTTCCCTTCCTTCTCCTAATGTCCTCCATGCTATTCCTTATGTTCCACAAATAAGTGAAACCATATGATAATTGACTTTCCCTGCTTGACTTATTTCACTTAGCATAATCTCCTCCAGTCCCATCCATGTTGATGCAAAAGTCAGGTATCCATCCTTTCTGATGGCTGAGTAATATTCCATTGTATATATGGCCCACATCTTCTTTATCCATTCGTCTATTGAAGAGCATCTCGGCTCTTTCCACAGTTGAGCATTGGGGAGCATATGGCCCTTCTTTTCACTACATCTGTGCCTTTGGGGTAAATGCCCAGTAGTGCAATTGCTGGGTCATAGGGTAGCTCTATTTTTAATTTTTTGAGGAACCTCCACACTGTTTTCCAAAGTGGCTGTACCAACTTGCATTCCCACCAACAGTGTAAGAGGGTTCCCCTTTCTCCACAACCTCTCCAACATTTGTTGTTTCTTGCCTTGTTAATTTTTGCCATTCTAACTGGTGTAACTCAATG